CCAATATGAATTAGGTACAATAAATAACAGAAGAAAAACCTGTCTAGTATCAAGGACGGCTTAAGTTTTAGCTGGATCACAGCAACCCATCATGATGACTGCTAAAAAGTAACATTACAACTATTTGACAGAGGTCTATTTGATAGAGGTCATCGGGTAGATTTCTGCGAAATTACCTGACGACCTAGTCCTTAAACAAATACTTCCTTGACTTACTGTTTCTCAAGGCCGTCTCTGTTACTGAGGAGGTTGTAAACCTTACACCCACAGGGAGACATTGCACGCCATCTTGTGGATATCACAAAAACATCAACACTGATTCTGAAAAGACGGACTCCTAAAAAAAAAGGAAAACCACAAATATGTATCTCCTTAAACATGGATTATAACCTGATATATAATTCATTACTATCAGGAAGAAACATGTTCTGGAAAATATAGGGGTTTTTTTGTTTCTTGCTCTTCAGCTGAAATAAACTAACAATTCTAATGGCCACGGGGTCACACTGTCAACTGCTAATGGTCTGTTATTAGTTAAACAACTTATAACACCTTGGGGATTTGGACTTACTATCCAAGACCCTTCCAAGTATCACTGAAAACACTTCTTGTAACGTTATTCTCTCTATGCTCAAGAGGAAGCAGAACAGAATGTATGCAGTAGTAGCATACTTAGGACAACTTCCTCTTCCACTTTTCTTTCTTACATATATACTGCCACTACTCTGTTGCTCAGCTACCTACAGAATGATTCTGTAAGTCAGTCAAAGTGACTTGAACTAAAGTAATGAATTCAAACGTTAGCATGAAAAGGATGGTGGGGAACTGGGATAAGAGAAAAAAAAGGGAAAGTTTGGGGGAGAATCACTTAAAAAAATAATTTTGGCCTTATATAAAATAGTTTGTGTTCACAGCTTTCATGAACTGCTAGCATTCGGTGTTCTATAGTATGGCATATAAATCGGTTTCTCGGGACAGTTCCCATTTCTAAAAGTTATTTACTTGGAATGCAGTAAGATATAAGCAAAAGTCCCAAGTGCTTACACTGCTTTTCCCCGTTAAAAAAATAGCTAGCAGAATTAGAGGCAAATCCTGGAATATTTTTGTAGCCTACATCAAACTGGTAAAATTAGCAACTGTGTTCTCGAAGAAAAAGGGGGAAAGACTGTAAATTCATTTCAAGGACTACGGTGGTGTTTCCATGCATAGGTACGTGTTTATAGACAAATATGCTTTAGTGCAGAATAGCAGTGCGGAAAGAGACCTCGAAACTCAAATGGTGTACCTACTACTGACACGGGCTGGCGGCTGGCTGGCTGCTCTCCACTTAAGGGATTACTGACATTTTTTCACACTTAGTAATACTATTTTGAATTCACACAAACTCCATCTATTTGAGCTGGATCAGGGCCACGGAAAAGGGAGTGTTAATCACCTAGAGTCATTGAAGAGATTAAAGAGAACAGCTGGAAATGGGATGAGCATTTCTGTCTTAAAGCTTTTTCTTTTTCCACGGGAAACCCCCTGCAACTACCAGCGGCGATGACAGAAAAGGAGAGGCGCGAGCACGACGGCCAATTAGGAGGGACTAGAAGTGTTTTTAAGAGCTAAAGGAACTACAGCTTGGTGCTGTCAAAGAGATGCCTTCTCAGAGGCCTGCCCCACGCCTGCTGCACCCTGAGGCACTCGAGGTGCCCAGGCCAGCCGCCTCAGGCCGGCCGTCGGGGCGGCAGGCCACACCGGTGAGACAGCCAGCAGCTCCCGGCCCAAAACCAGAGGTACCGAGGAAGAAACGACCCTTACTTCTGTAACTTCTTGACCCTTACTTCTTCAAAAAGGGCAAGAAGGAGGACCCTGGGAACTACAGACCAGTTAGTCTCACTTCTGTCCCTGGGAAGGTAATGGAGAGACTCATTCTAGATGTCATCTCCAAACAAGTTGAAGAGTGGGGGGTTATTGGAAGTGGGCAACACGGGTTTACCAAGGGTAAATCATGTATGACCAATCTGATAGCCTTCTATGATGCCATAACTGGTTGGTTGGACGAGGGGAGGGCAGCAGATGTCATCTACCTTGACTTCAGCAAGGCTTTTGACACTGTCTCCCATAACATCCTCATTGGGAAACTGAGGCAGTATGGGCTGGATGAGGGGACAGTGAGGTGGATTGAGAACTGGCTGTGCGACAGGACTCAAAGGGTAATGATTAATGGAGCAGGTTCAAGTTGGAAGCCTGTAACCAGTGGTGTCCCCCAGGGGTCAATACTTGGACCCGTGCTGTTTAATATATTCATCAGTGACCTGGACGAGGGGACAGAGTGTATCCTCAGCAAGTTTGCTGATGATACCAAACTGGGAGGAGTGGCTGACACCCCGGAGGGCTGTGCTGCCATCCAGCGAGACTTGGACAGGCTGGAGGGCTGGGCAAAGAAGAACCTCATGAGGTTCAACAGGGAAAAGTGTAGGGTCCTGCACCTGGGGAAGAAAAATGTCAGGTACCAGTATAGGTTAGGGGTGGACCCGCTAGAGGCAACTACTGAAGAGAAAGATCTAGGGGTCCTGGTGGACAGTAAAATGACAATGAGTAAACAGTGTGCTCTTGCGGCCAGGAAGGCCAATGGTATCTTGGGCTGCATAGGGAAGAGTGTAGCCAGCAGGTCAAGGGAAGTCATTCTCCCCCTCTACTCTGCACTGGTGAGGCCACAACTGGAATACTGCGTCCAGTTCTGGGCTCCCCAGTTCAAGAGGGACAGGGAACTAGTAGAAAAAGTCCAGCGAAGGGCAACAAAGATGATTCAAGGATTGGAGCATCTCCCTTATGAGGAGAGACTGAGAGAGCTGGGACTCTTTAGTCTGGAGAAGAGAAGGCTGAGGGGAGACCTTATCAATGCCTACAAGTACCTAAAGGGTGGTTTGAAGGAGGAGGGAGCCAGGCTCTTTTCAGTGGTTCCCAGTGAGAGGATGAGGGGCAACGGGCACAAGTTGGAACATAAGAGGTTCCACTCAAATATGAGGAGAAACGTCTTCACAGTGAGGGTGAAGGGCCCTGGAACAGGCTGCCCAGGGAGGTTGTGGAATCCCCTTCTCTGGAGATTTTCAAGACCTGCCTGGATGCAGTCGGGAGTAACATGCTCTAGCTCTGGGCAATCCTGCTTCAGCAGGGGAATTAGACTAGATGATCTCTATGGTCCCTTCCAACTCTAAAATTCAGTGAAATTCAGTGAAATTCTGTGCCCAGCCGCGGCCGGGAGAGAAGGACACCCCCCATTCCGCCGGCTCCACAGCCGCTCAGCCCCCATCCTCCCCCGCGGCGACAACCCTTCGCTTCAGCTCCCGACTATGAGTGACCCGCCTCGCACCGCCAAGCCTTCCCTCCCCGCGA